GAAAAGTTATATATACCAACAACTCAAAGAGTAACTTTCATGCACCTTTGCCATGACACAAAATCAGCAGGGCATTTTGGATTTGTAAAAACTTTACATTTAATTAAACGGCAATTTTGGTGGCCATCCATGAAAAAGGACATTGAAAGTTATATAGCCAGTTGTCCAAAATGTGCCACGGCAAAGAGGTTGCAAGGGAAAGTGCAAAATATATAGGACCTTTTCCAATTAAAAGAATCATAAATCCAGTAACAGTAGAATTAGAATTACCCAAAAATCTCAGGCAAATACACCCAATTTTTCATTGCAGCTTGCTGAAAAGAGAGCATCAGTCAACTCTACGGCCAAAAATCCCCCCACCACCACCTCCACTCATGGTGGAGGGTGAACAACACTTCGAAATAAACGAAATCCTTGATTCTAGGAGATATCATGGAGCAACTCAGTACCTAGTTGCCTGGAAACACCTCCCTGCCTCACAAAACGAGTGGGTCCATAAACATTATGTCAGAGCCCCGAAGCTATTGAAGAAGTTCACACCGAGTATCCTAACAAGCCTGACTAAATTTTATACTTGTGTTTTCTTTCAGGTGGATCTCTCTTATTTTTAAGAGGGGCCGGATGTCAGAATCCAATTATATTTCATCTTTAATTATCAAATATAGAAACTCCCAATTCTGCCTTCTCTGGATTCTGCCATAAGAGGGAGAGAAGGGGGAGAACAAAGGGGCTTTATGGCCCTCACTTCCTTCAGTATACTTCAAGGAGCTGAATGCTGAATGTGTGTTTATTGTAACCTCAAAGCATTAGCACCAAAGAACCTTACCATAACAAAGAAGGGTATTTGCCTTTCATGTAGTTATCTGAAGTCTCCATCCAGACGGAAGAAAGAAAAAAGGGGGTGGAATTGTGATACCTGAAACTATCACTGGAAGGGGGGTTGATTGGGTGGGACTACTGGGGAACCCCTTAAAACCTTGAATGGGAGGGCTTGGACCCCAAGTCCTGTTAAGCACGCCTGCAACCACTTCTTCTTAATAAAGGATTCCTGTTGGAAGAATTATTCCAAGAGTTCTGTCTTCTTAAGATGCAAAGTGGGGTGGGTCCTTACAATTTGCAACATTTAGAAATTCTGCATCATCTAAATTCAATATGAGATAAGCCATTGCTCTATCATGATTTTTCTGATCAACAGCTGCAAACACTTGTGGTGGATTTTCTACAATATACCACAGCTCTTTTGCTTTCAGCAAACATTCCATTTTTGCAGCCCACACAATGTAATTCTTCTGGCCCAAACGAGGTACATAGCTTTCCTTAAATTCCATTGCAGCTATTCTGCCAATTCTGCCTTGTTCTTATACTTTCTAAACACAAGCAATTTCTTCCAACTTTAAATTACAATGCAGTCCTTAGTAAGCTCTGGGCCCATAACCTGTTAGAGAATTTTAATTTCTCTATTGGTGAAAAATAAATCAGAAGCTCTCACAGTTGACTGCATTTAGCTGATTCAAATAACTTTATATTTATATAAAAATATTTACAATACCATTCTTCTTTACAGCAACATAGCTTAATGAAGTCTTCTTATAGAGACAGACCAGAGACAAAACCTTGAGACTGGAAATCCAGCTCCTAACTCAATACTCCTTTTGCACAGACTCAGTAGCCCTTTCTTCTCATTGGCTGACTGAGTTACCACATGACTCTTCCTGTTCATGAATATTCCAACAGGCATAGAATCAAGATCACAAGAAATACTATTACAGCTTTATAAAGCCCTAGTAAGACCACACCTAGAATACTGCAGCCAATTTTGGTCACCACACCACAAAAAAGATGTTGAGAGTTTGAAATTTTTTTTAAAGAAGAGCAACTAAGATGATCAGGGGCCTGGAGACTAAAACATACAAAGAATGGCTATGGGAATTGGGTCTGGCTAGTCTAAAGAAAAGAATAGGGGAGACATGATAGCAGTGTTCCAGTATCTGAGGGGTTGCCACAAGGCAAAGGGGGCCAGGTTGTTCACCAAAGCACCAGATCAAAGGACAAAAAACAACAGTTGGAAACTGATCAAAGAGAGAAGCAACCTGGAACTAAGGAGGAATTTCCTGACAGTGAGGACAATCAACTAGTAGAACAGCTTACCCACAGAAATCGTGGGCATTCCATCACTGAAAATTTTTAAAAAGAGACTGGACATCCACCTTTTTGACATGATATAGGTTTTCCTGCTCGAGCAGGAGGCTGGACTAGAAGACCTCCAAGGTCCCTTCCAGCTCTATTCTATTCTATTCTATTCTATTCTATTCTATTCTATTCTATTCTATTCTATTCTATTCTATTCTATTCTATTCTATTCTATATCATTATAATTATCATCATCAATCATCATCTCTACCTATCAAGGCAAATAGATGCATGTGGAATGTTGCAAGTACATCAGATGGTTGAAGTAATAAAAAGGGACTTGGAAGAATATTTGAAGGACAATGAAGAAGATGCACAGAAGTTAGTATACACAGAAGGCTTACAGACTAGTGGAGACACCAAACTGGCCTACAAGAAAGACCAAATAAAGAACAGAATGGCGGCATGGGATGAGGAAGCATGATGTGGCTACTACATTAAAAAAATAGTAGGGAAAGTAGATAATAATAAGACCTGACAATGGCTAAGAGCAGGAAAATTAAAGAAAGAGACTAATTGTGTCTGCACAAGACCCAGTCTTAAGAACAAATGCATACAAAGCCAGAATTGAGAAGACAGCAACAGAGCATAAGTGTTGCCTATGAAAAAGCTGAAAAGTTGCTATAAGAAGATCACACAGACTGACAACAAAGAATGACATAACAAAGTAGCAACAGTGGTACACTGGAAAATCTGCAAGAAATATCATTTGCCTGCAAGCAAGAACTGGCAGGACCATTAAATAGAGAAGGTCATACAAAATAAAAAAGATAAATTGCTCTGGGACTTTAGAATTCAAACAGATACCTACCACATAACATCCCAGACTTAACAATTGTCAATAAGAAAGACAAAAAAATCTGAATAGTCGATGTGGCAGTTCCTGGAGACAGCAGAATAGAAGAGAAAGAACTGGAGAAGGTAACAAAATACGAAGAACTACAAATACTGTAGAAATAGAACGACTATGGCAAAAGCAAGTAAAGTTGGTACCAATAGTAATAGGGGCCTTGGGTTTAATCCCAAAACAACTGGAGCACCACTTGAACACCATTGGCAATGACAAATTTGCCATCAATCAATTGCAAAAGGCGGCTTTACTTGGAACAACTTCCATACTGCGATGATATCTGTAAGACCATCAAATATCCAGATCTGCTTAACCCAGGTTCTTGGAAAGGACTTGATAGGTAGACAAAAATGCCAAACACAGTCTAAACATTTGGCTTACTGTGCAATGAACTATAATAAAACAACAAAAACAAATTTGTTAGAACTTACTAATTGAATCCTATACTATCCCAATCATTTTCAGAAGTGATTCTCCCAACCTATACCTTATTTTGAACATGTAGTCCATTAGCAGATTTGAAAGGCTGGGTGTAGTCAGTGATGTTCCAGGGAAAAGAGGATCAAAAAAGGCAAGACTAGCATCTTACTTTTTTTGATACCCCTACTCCACTCCCCGTTGATGCCATTGAGTGCAACCCAATCTTCAGCCTGACTCATACAGAAAATTAATTCCCAGTTTCATCAAATAAGTAATCCTGAGTTTTCCCTTGAACTTTATGCAGGAACACATTTTCATATCTTGATTATGATTTTCAGAACCACCACAGATTGGATTACAGGTAGTCCTCAATTTATAACTGTTCATTTAATGATGGTTCAAAGTTTTAAAAAAACTTATGACTTTTCCTCAAAGTAACAATACTTGCAAAAACCCCATGAACATGGGACTGCAATTCAGGCTTCCATTTATGATGGCTGCAGAGTCTTGTAATCATATAATTGTGATTTGTGACCTTTCCAGCTGACTTCTGACAAGCAAAATCAATTGGGGAAGATGGGTTCACTTAACAACCATATGATAAAATGGCAATAAAATTGGGTTCAGTCATGGAATGACTTGCTTAATGCTTCATCACTAAGTGACCAAAATTCCTGTCCCAATTGTGGTTGTAAGTTGAAGATTACCTATAAATTAGGCAAGATAGCATCTCTGAACAGGTTGAAAGAAAATATGTTTGTGAGGGGGGGGGAGGGTTGTTTGTACCTGAAAATTCATCCTGCACGGCAGACCTTATAAAAGAAAATCAATTCCCAAAGTAGTTTCAAAATACAATGAAATGTAACATACCGCAAACCGTAAAGAACGGTTCCATCTGGATGTAGCCGAATCATTCGATTTTTCACAGTAACTCCATGAACAAAGGATTTCTTGTCATTCAGGAAATATGTATCTGGAACCCAGAGATAATCAGCCATTCTGTTATCTAAAGTTAGATTTAAAGGTATGCCAGAGTAGGATAATCTTTTATCCCTCCAGGATTGCTGGAAATACATAGTTAGTGTATAGTCCTGGAAAAAAGTAAAAAAATAGCAATTATTATTATAGATCTTATTAAGATTTGATTTTATAATTGCTATTAACATCAAGATTTATATCCTGATTTTCTTCCAGCAGCTCAAGATAATATTCACTGCACTCTCTCCCTTTTGATGGAGGTTGGATTGAGACAAAACAACTGATTTAATTCGCCCAGTGAGTTTACATAATTGAGGGTTGACTTAAACATAGGTGTCCTCAATGTCCCCACGCTTTACTATACTGTACCGACTTTTCACAGATAGGAAGTGAAGACCAAGTTAATGGCAAATGCAGTTCCTTAAACATTCCCATTTTGATAAAGTTATTGATCCAGACATGTTCATTATTTATTAAGGTTCAAGGGGAAAATGTATTGTTTGCTTTGTCTTGTTAGTAAGCTAACTTTTACTCATTTTCCTACTGTATTTTCCTATTTAAGGGCAGTGTTGCACACTGGTTTGAAAAGTGGCTTGAGCTTATCTTTTATCTTCAGGTAAGTCTAAATATTATAACCATATAAAACTGATTTTGTTCAAGCAGTTGAATCCTATGGGATAAGTAGTTAAAGATGCAAAACACATTAAATATTACCAATTTCCTGTGTGCTGGGGTTGTATTGTGGCTGTCATACAGAAAACATACACGCACATGTACAAAATGTTTTCTTGTGGCAATGACTTAATATTTTGAAATGCCCCAAGACATACCAACTATATGGCAGTTCTCCACATCAACTCTGGAATTCTTTTTCAAAAAAATATCATGTCATATGATGAGATCTCACATGGAAGTGCTTTTTTTAAAGGTAGGGGATATTTCATTACCCTTCAGTCACATCTGTTTCATAAATGTGTGTATTCCAATGTTTTCAAGAGGGAAATTTCACCCCCATCAATATACTTTCTGAAGTCCCCCATTTTAAATGTTTTCACAGTATTAATTTGTATCCCTCTGTATCTCAAGAGTAGAAAGTTTTGATTATGTGTTACCCAGTTGGTAACTTTTAGATATCACATACTAGATAGATGCTCTAGAACAGTGTTCTGGCCCATATAGCTCTATGGCCCATATAGCTCTATGGCCCAGCTCTATGTTGGAAGGTCTGGCAGTTATTGGGTTAAATGCTAGGTATGTGGATGGGTCAGTGGGAGGAGTCCCAAAGGTCTTTGGGAGACTTCCTGGACACAAGCCACATGGGAATCTCTTTGTCTGTAAGAAGCATGGGCCATGGAAGGTCTCCCTATAAACATAAAGATGGTGTGAAGAGCAATATATTCTTACCTAAGGAAAGGATCTGAAAGATGAACAAACATGTATTTCCAGCAGCACCAATCTCAACGTGAACGCAAGTAATCTTTCTCATTAAAATATATTTGTTTATTATAAGATCGTTTCTTTTGAGTTAACTATCTGACTGGATTTGAAATATAACACTTTTAAATTTGGGTCAGAATAGTAAGAATATATACTTATAATTTGTGCTATCTTTTGAAAGCAAATAGTAAATTGGCAAAGATTAATTCTCCTCTCAAAGCTGCAACAGTTTGAAGAAAGAGAATCAAATTGTTTAGCCCTTTCTCTACATTAACCTTCAAGGAAGTAAAGATTCTCTTGATGCCTTTAAAAGCTTGCAAAGCAAAGCCAGCGTGTCTGTGTAAAAAACAGCTTTCAAGGAGTGATTCAGAGGTTTTGTTATGCTAATTCGCTTGCTAGCTAAACTTCAAAGTAAAAAGTACCTTGGACCTGTTCTCAAATTAATGTTTATAGTGGGGAGAAAGAAAAACAAAAATCTACATTTTTGTTCCTTGCATGAAAAGTTTGAATTTTAACACCAAAAGGAGCTTGGGCTTTTCCCCCTCCCCTCTTTGCCAGTGAATCACAGCAGCCTGAAACAAAGAACTGTTTAATGACTGCCTCTAAAGTTCAGACAAAAGCAAGGTTTATTGTCTTTCAATAAACTAATCTGTTGCCATAGTGACAGCCCTAGGTATGCTCGGAATTTCAGCCAATGTTATAAGGAGGAATCATCGCAGAAGCACCCCCTGGTGGTCATGCAATTTTTTTTTCTAGCTGAGTCACAACAGCCACAATTAATTCAGCACACAACAGAGCAAATCTGTTAGTTAAAGTGCAAGCTACTTAAAGTTATCCCAAGCTACCAACACCCCCCAGAGGGCACAGAGTGATCTTACTGGAAGCATTCACTCACTCACCCAAGCTGAGCACTAAGCTGTTCCAGCTTGAGGGAACTTAGGCAGAAGAAATCAAAGCCAAGTCTCTTTGCTTATTATCACAGCTGATGACCCGGAGTTCCAGCCTGCAACTGACCAGGTGGGAGTTTGTACCTCTACATCCTCTCAGTGGCTCACTAGCAGTAACGTGGTAATAGGAAGAATTTGGCTAGCCTTTTTAACACCCCCTAGAGGGCACAGAGTGAACTTACCAAAAGTACTCACTCATTCACTCAAGCTGAAGGCTAAGCTGTCCCAGCTTGAGAGAGAGGAAGCAAGAGCCAATTGCCTTTGCCTATTATCACAGCTGATGACCCGTAGTTCCAGCCTGCAACTGACCAGGTGGGAATTTGTACCTCTACATTCTCTTAGTGGCTCACTAGCAGTAACGTGGCAATAGGAAGAATTTGGCTAGCCTTTCTCCAGACGCCCCCTAGTGGTTAAAGGAAGCTCTACACGCAAGCCTTTAACCGCACCCAGAGAAGCCCCTCTAGTGGACAAAGGGTGAACCTCGAAGCCAGAGCACCCTGGTAGCTGACCCACAGCAAGTGACCCCTAGTGGTGAAGGGGCGAACTGCACTGAAGTACCCACAAACACAGGAGAACGCACCCAGTGGCATCTCCACCTACAGACAGCACCTCAGAAGCTGATCTACAAGTAGCGACCCCTAGTGATCAAAAAGAGAAGTTCTTCAAATTCTCTTCAAAATAGCTGAGAAGGAACCTACCCTAACCATGGAGGAGTGTCTTATTGATTTGGACAAAGGGGTTCAATTAACCAGCCTAGTTGAGACACCCCAACCAGTCAGTCAAGGAGAGATGCTGCAAACAGCCAACCTTGACCAGTATGCAGAGGTTGAAACTCAAGCCTCAACAAAGCCAATAATGTCTCAGGGTCAATACGATCTTAGACAACACAGAAAGCTCAAGAAGCCATGCACTCACATCTGATGGAGAAATGGCACACCATCCACAGGCGCCATGAAAGAGGCTTGGAGAGATTATACAAACTCTACCACGAACAGAAGGAGGAACTCTCCCCAGAACGGGCACATGCAGTGGAAGGAGATAAGGAAGACGCCTACGTGCAATGGATGGACTCTGAACAGCAACTCAAGGACATTCAAGAACAGTTAAGAGACCTAAGAGTCGACAGCGAGATGCAAAGCCTCAGGCTAATAAACGAGGAATGTAAGAAGCTTCTAGTGAGCTCACATGGTTCCCCACAGCCCGACCCTCACCAGAAAGGCAGACCGGTCAACAGAGCCGAGTCCGAAGTTTCCCGCTATTCACATGCACCATCACAATGGTCGCACGCAGATCCATCCCATGTGTCTGGAAAGGCCTCATCTTTTCGCCACATGTCCAAGGCACACTCCAGCGTGTCCCAACACTCGCATATCACAGGACCCTCCCGCCATTCAAAGGCATCTCGCCAGAGCCATGCATCTCGAGCCTCAAGAGCAGAGAGTATTGCCGCCCGTCTCAGGGAAGCACGGATCAATACCGCAATGGCCAACATTGCTGCAGAAGCAGCAGTAGACGACAAGCTACATAGAGAAGACTTGGCCAAAGCTCAGGCCAACTTTGAGATTTTCCAGCGACAACAGAGAGCAAAAGAGGCAGCCGCAATAGAAGCGATCCTGCAGAGAGAGTTAGAAGATGCCATGTCAACGCCCAATTTGGAAAGTCTAGGAAGGGAAAGTTCTCACAGCCGTGTACAGGCCTATGTGGACAACCAAAGCGCACTCCAGAATGCACAGATGAGAGCACCACAGCCAGCCAGAAGCCCCCCAAGACTGAGTAGACGAACAGAGGAATCTCAACGACCTGATTCGCTGGTCAACTGCAGAGTTGATGTCACGACACCTAGGTCATGAGATCCTCCCGCCGTTGTTGCCACATCGAACCTAATGGGATTACCAGCAATGGCAATGACTGCACAGCGGGGAGTGCCACAAGATCTTTCCACCATTATTACCCCAGCAATGGCAACAACTGCACAGCCGGGAGTGCCACAAGATCTTTCCACCATTATTAACCCAGCAATGGCAACAACTGCACAGCTGGGAGTGCCACAAGATCTTTCCACCATTATTAACCCAGCAATGGCAACAACTGCACAGCGGGGAGTGCCACTAGATCTTCCCACCGTTATTACCCCACAGAACCCACCAAACCATACCACTAATGGCAATCGGATGGATCCACCTATAGCGCCAACAGCCCTACAGCAGCTCAGGGAAGAGATTGAAAGAGTTAGAGCCACACTAGAGTCACTAGAGTCCCTGCTGCACCAACAGGAGGCCGCGCCCCAAGGAACTGCCACCAATCCTGACTACAGGGGACAGCCTCGAGCATCAGCTCTGACAGCCTACCAGGAAGCTAGCTACACTCTACCAGAAACACAGACCTTCCAACACGTAAGCAAGCAAGAGCCTGGGCTCCCTCAGCTCAATGCCAGAGCAGCAGAGTTCAGATCAAGCCAACAAGGTCCCTTGCACGTGACATGGCAAAATACACCCAGCCACCAATACGCCGAAGGAAGTTACCAGCCAAACATGGCACACGCCCCTACTCCTGGAAGCGATGTACCATCGCCACCCAGTTACACCCCTATGAGACTTTACAGAAGCAACATAGATCTGGCATCCAAGGGCGTACACAAATTCCCCGATAAACCGGGGAAGGACTACGTATTGTGGAAGCTCACGTTCCAAACCGCTATCCAAGATGAAGCTATAACATCGAGCGAAGCGCTCGGACACATGAAAACATGGCTGGGACCAGCTTCCACACGATTAGTAGAGAACACTCAACTAGCCCACCTAGGCAACCCAGCTACCACCCTTCTCAAAGCTTGGGAAAGGCTCGATGAGCAGTATGGCGGACATGAACTGACAGAAAAGTCACTCTTGGATTGCATTTACATCTTCCCTAACATCTATATCAATGATCACACCCAGATGTTGGAATTCGCTGACACGCTCTCGATGCTACATTCAGTTCGCGAGCAACCCAACATGCCAAAACTTACCTGCCTCGATCAGTTCAAGAAGCAAAGGATCATAGTTAGAAAACTACCAAAGCAGTCAAGGGACGAATGGGCCAAAATATCAGAAACCCACAGGAACCAAGACCCTGACGCACCACCTGCCTTCGCTGTACTCGCTGAATTTGTGACCGACCAAGCAAAACTACGTTGTAATGCCAGCAACTTCGAGCCAACACATGACAACTTCAGCCCCAACCAAAATTCTTCCCAAGCTACGGACAGAACCACACCTTTGGTGTATAAAACAGACATCACGCCTTCCCCAAAGATGTCTCCAGACGAACAAACACCTAGAAGCGCTCTTTCGAACCCTCATCCAACTACCAAAGGCCTAACTTGCCCGATACACAAGTTCTCTCACTCTCTAAATGATTGCAGAGAATTTAGGAAGAAATCCCTAGATGACCGAAAGACCCTACTCAAAGAGAATAGGATATGTTTCAAATGCTGTGACTCTATGGATCACATGGCCAAGGACTGCACAGCTAAGGTGAAATGCCACCTGTGCAACAGCGACAGGCACCCAGCAGCCTTACACCTAGAACCTAAGATGCTGTCTAAGGAATCACGACAAGCAACTAGCTCTACACCAGACTAATCACTGACCGAGTCCTGTTGCTAAGGAAGACCAGCTTAGACAATTGAACCTCTTCAGTTCCAGCTGTTCCTGACCCTTCAGTCCCAGCTGTTGTTCCTGATTCTTCAGCTCCGGCTGTTCCTGAGTTTCCTGATGTTCCTGATCTTGATTCTTCAGCCCCAACTGTTCCTGAGTTTCCAGATCCAGCTGTTTATGTCTTTCCAGGTTTTTCAGTTCCTGAGTATCCTGTGAATCCTGTTCCCCTCATTCCCGAGAAGCTTGGGTTCCAGTTTTTTCTGTTCCAGATTTGGTTCCAGTTTCCTTCACAGGAAGAAGACCTTGTCTCATTGGGAGACAAGACTGCATACCAGAACTATTGGCCCACAGTTCCTGTGCACCGGGCCCACCCACTTGATGAACTATTTTACCCAGCTGAGATCCAGATCATGAAGCCACGTGAGTCAGGTCGTGACTCAAAGACACTTGTACCAGGCTGATCACCGATTTGGTCCATCGCTGATGAAAACTGAACCAGAAGATTAAACCTCAAATTATGTATTGTCTTATGCATTGTTTGATGTAACACTTGCCTTTTTCATAATTGTGCATGTTTTATGTTTACCTTATAGTTATGCATGTTTGATACCAAGTTTTTACCTATTTAGTCACAAGTTAACCACAATGAGTATTGCATGCCTTGATGCTACGTTTTTACTATTTTAGTAGTGGAAATATAAATTTCCAAGCGGGGAGTGTTCTGGCCCATATAGCTCTATGGCCCATATAGCTCTATGGCCCAGCTCTATGTTGGAAGGTCTGGCAGTTATTGGGTTAAATGCTAGGTATGTGGATGGGTCAGTGGGAGGAGTCCCAAAGGTCTTTGGGAGACTTCCTGGACACAAGCCACATGGGAATCTCTTTGTCTGTAAGAAGCATGGGCCATGGAAGGTCTCCCTATAAACATAAAGATGGTGTGAAGAGCAATATATTCTTACCTAAGGAAAGGATCTGAAAGATGAGCAAACATGTATTTCCAGCAGCACCAATCTCAACGTGAACGCAAGTAATCTTTCTCATTAAAATATATTTGTTTATTATAAGATCGTTTCTTTTGAGTTAACTATCTGACTGGATTTGAAATATAACACTTTTAAATTTGGGTCAGAATAAACAGTGATGGCGAACCTTCTAGAGACCGAGTGCCCAAACCGCAACCCCAAACCCATTTATTTATCGCAAAGTGCCAGGGCTGCATCAGCATTGTGGTGCCCTCAGGGGGAGGGCAAGGAGGCACCTCTGAGTGCCGCCTCTGGCACGCAAAAACTGGGGGCGCAAAAATGGGCCACCATGCTGCAAGGTGCAAAAATGGTCGCTGCCACACTGTGGGGTGCAGATACAAGGCGCTGCATCACACAAGAACGGGGCAGGGCTAGTGAGTGTCATGCAGGCACTAGCCCCACCCCATTTGCAGTGCAAAATGCTTCCTCCTCCCTTTTCTTCCAGTCCAAAAATGGTTGGTGAGCTCTGCTCTACCACCTCTACTCGAGCTTGCTAGTCGGCCACTTCGCCTCCTTTGTGCTGGGTGGGGCTCCTACTCCGGGCAGTGGTGGTGGCGGCAGCCTGATGGACCTGCTGCTGGCGGTGGTGCGTGTGCCAACAGAGAGGGCTCTGAGTGCCACCTCTGGCACACGTGCCATAGGTTTGCCACCACTGCTCTAGAATGTTCTGTCTGCAAATTGTGCATCTAACACCACTGTAATCAAGTCCATCAACATTATCGCTCTTCTCTTCAGTTCCCTTTTACTTTTTCCAGCTTTATGGAATTCTCAGGAGAGCTAGATCTTTACACAGTGTCAAAACTATGATAACTTGAGCCTGGTTATTTGTGTCTTCTGTGATCTTATCATTTGTACTTTATCTAGAATTTGATTGATTCTATGATCCATTTACTTATTTTCTTGGCTATTGATGGGCAGAAGCTTTCCACAATTTCAGTATCTTTATTTTCAATTCAAAGCTTGTGTCAGAGAACCTCAGTTGTATTTGCCTTTAACCCTTCCCTTTTCCCCTCTCTTGATTTTGCCTGTTTATTTTTGGGGCTTGCCATACTATTGGGGGGAGGGAGCTTGCAGGGGAATTGTTATTTGCTTTGCTCTGCTTTGTATGAGATGCCCTCCGTCTGGGCAAGAGGAATGCGACCTGAAAACATCTGCCTTATCTCCAGACAATGGAGCATGAGACCATTTGGAAACGAAACCAAGAGAGACCTTGAAAAGCCCACTGAATCTCCAGCTTCTCATAACATGGTGGCACCTGTGGATTGGCTGGATTTCAACTCGATGTTGGACACTGGGGGGGGGGGGTGGAGTTGCAAATTGCCTTTTTGATATAATCCTTTATGAGCCAAATGTTAGAACTTGCTTTTCTCTCTTGTCATCACTAACTCTCAATAAAAAGTTCTTTTGGGACAATGCCTGTTTCAAGAGTTCTGCTTTCTTAGGAGATCTAGTTGAGGCAGGTCTTTAGAGCTTGCTTGCTGGACTTCCAGTTTTGTGCAGTAGTTCAGCAGCCGAAGGATTGCTAGGCTCTGCACCCTACAGCTGATTTCTGCCAGGAGACCCTAAATGGGCCTGAAGTTGCCCCGTAGAGGGAGAAAATCCCACCGATTGTGGAGAGACAACAGTCGATCCGATTGATTTGGGAAAAGCCCTCCAGAAACTGGCAGGAGAAGAGGCTAGTTCAACTTCCAAGTCTAGCCCAAGCTGCAAGCAACTGAAGTCCAAAAGTACTACTTCAAGCTGACTGTAAACAACATGTTTGGAACTGGGTAAGAACAGTGATTTTCTTTCTTCTACTTGGAAATTGATTTCCTGGGAAAAAGAAAAAAGAAAAACCCCAAGAAGCAAAAAGCCTCCAAAAGTGAGAAGGAGGGGGACCTTTGCTCCACCCTCCTGCAGACAGAAGCGGTGAATTAAACCTTTCAGGGGGAACAGAAATATATTGAAATTAAAAGAATATAAGACTTAATTTGAATAAGTTTGAAATCGGTGGAATCTGTTAAGATTTTCTTTTTATATTGTGAAAATAGAATTTTCACAATATAATTGTCTATTACTGAAAGAACTGGTGCTGACATCTAGTGGTGGATGAAAATATACAACAATAGCTGCTCTATTACAGGGATTGGCAAGGCCCAGGATAAAATAAATTTGATTCTGGTAACTTTCAATGTCTTAATAACAGAGAACAGCTGTGACAATTTTTTTTGATGCCTGTAGGTTTAGCCCCATTAGTATTTATAGATCATTTTAAATCGTCATGGGGAAAAAAAGCCCTAGATAAAATTAAATCGCTGGGCTTCTCTATGGAAAGTCTGTGTTCATTAGGATTTGATAATGCTAGAACTGCCTTGAAACAACGAATCTGGGATATAGATCTCCAAACAAACCTAAGTAAGGTGGCACATTCCAACATTTGTCACTTGCTTCCAGAAGGATTCTTTCCAGCTTCTTATCTATTTTGCATTACAATTTTGAAATTTCGTAAAGATTTCACCTTAGCCAGGCTGGATGCATTGCCCTCGGCAGTCCTTTTTGGATGGTTTAAGGGCATTCCTATGCACCTTTGAGTGTGTCCATGTGGTGATGGCTCTATAGAAACTCTAAGCCATATGTTGCTTCATTGCTTTTTATAGAAAGACTCTAGACAGATTCTTATATATCCGATATTGAAGAAATTTCCAGGCAGGGGATATAAATTTTATCTAAAGTTGCTACTTTTGGATAAGGATCCAAAAAAATCAATTCAGATTGCCCAATTTTGTGCCACCATTTGCACAATACATCGCACCATTATTAAGGTATGAAAAAAAAATAATATGATGTTTTATTTTGGGATTATATTATATTGATTGTTTGGTGGTTTTATATCCTGTAAATATAGAAGTAAAATTGCTACTGTTGTATACATTTTGACTATGTCTGGCCTTATGGCTGTAATAAACAGATTGATTGATACAACAATAGCTGCTCTATTACAGGGATTTGCAAGGCCCAGGAAAAGATAAATTTGATTCTGGTGACCTTCAATGTCTTAATAACAGAACAGCTGTGAGAAAGAAAGAAAGAAAGAAAGAAAGAAAGAAAGAAAGAAAGAAAGAAAGAAAGAAAGAAAGAAAGAAAGAAAGAAAGAAAGAAAGAAAGAAAGAAAGGAAAAGAAAAAAGAAAACATCTTGGGCTTTGTACAAAGTGAGAATTATAAACTCTAAAAAAAAAAAAGAATTGACCTTTCTGGATTATAAATAGTAACTCAACTGTGACTCTAAAGCTGTCTGCAGAGAAAGGAAAACCCTGATTTTTGGCTATCATAGAAAACCAGAGACCTGCAGAAAGAATATACCAAGAAAAAACAAATACTTTCCAGAAGGAGAATTATGCTATGTTGCAACTAATCCAAATAACAATAATCTCAAGCCACGAGGAAATTAAACATAACCTTGAAAACATAAATGAACACATCTCCAATTTAACTTTACAACATAAAAATTCTCAGAAAATAAAAATAGAGAGTAAGCAGAAAAAACAGACAACTGAATATGAGAGGAGAGAGATTTCAAGATGGAATTTAATACAAGGAAGTTTGACTTAACCCAGATAGAAAAAAATTACAGGAAACTCTGGATATGGAAAAGATAAACTACACTTTATGATTACAAAATAAGTTTGAGGACAAGAAAAAAGACTTGGCAAAATGGATTTTGTCAGAAGAATTATGAGAACTTGAGAGACAAAAAATACTAAATAAAATCAAGAAAGAACAAAAGGAAAAGATTTTCAATTAATACAAAGAGGCGAAACCTTCCTATAAAAATCTTTTACCTGTTTTGTCTTTTGTACCTGCAACAACATTTATAACATTATGGGAAGATTCTTTGATTCATCGAAGCATATTGAACAGGGAAGATGTTGGGCAAAAAAAAGAGGCCAAAGTGAAAATTAAGAAATTAGATGATCGGAATTATCAAACGGAGTATTTAAAAATTAAACATTTGTTTGAATATGGTTAAAGAAATAGAAAGATTTTGAATATAAATGAAGATTAGTTTAAGAGGGGTGAACCCCTCAAGTAATATAGTATGCCT